GAACCACAACTAGAATTTTAAAACATACCTTGAAACACTGAAGTATTCCTGAAATCTTAACTCCTCACTGGCCATCTATGAGGGAGGTTTGATCTGTGAGAACTCAAGTAGTTCAAGTTGTAGGTGTGTGTGTGTGTGTGTGTGTGTGTGTGTACATGTGTGTTATAAAGTCCTGTTGTGATTGGACGGGAAATAAACATAATTTATTTTCTTGAACTGTAATTGGCTAAAGTCCTTTTCTTTCCATGATATTTTCTAGTAACTGAATCTAGAGCCTCTCCTTGTTTTTATCACCTGACCACTGTGTTTAAACTATGTACTGGTACTAAAAGTACTCAGATTGGCGCAGAGTGTTTGACCAGAGCCCACAGTGGAGAGTTTGGCGTTCTGGTAACAAAGCAGTGGCGAGGTGTCTGGTCTGAACAGCTTCAACATGTAATTAGTATCACCGTAATTGGGGAAGAATGAAAGGATGACAGGCTTTTCTTCATTTTAATTTAAAGTCGTAGACCCTTTTTCTGCAGTGTCTGAGTTCTTTGGGCTTAGTTTTTTACAGTAGGAAATGGTGCTTTGCTGCTGGGACTGCAGGACTGTCAATTTAGGCTAACCCCAAGGACAGGCGCCAGTGTTCTGAAAAACATCGCTCTGGAGATGAGGCATACACCCTTGAGTTTATTTTATGATCCAGAGTGGAACCAGCACATTTCACTTTCTCCTCAGACTCACCTCTGAGGGGATAACGAATAGAAAGGTGGACCACCATAGCTCTTAATAGTGTTGCTGAGGGAGAGTACTCTCTGCTCCCGCGCCCTTCTGGCGTCCCGTGTCCGAGAGCAGCCACCGCAGCTGCGGGCACTACTTTCTGTCTGCGGTGGTTCCGCCGACGCTTTCCGCGGCTTCCTCCCCCACGCCTGCACAGGCGGAAGGAGACGCGCGGCGCACTTTCCGCCTCGCCAGTGGAGGGGAGGCGGAGTAGTACTGGCCGCGGCGCTGTGGCAGCGGAGGCTGGGGCTGCCTCCGGGCCTCCGACGGTGGTGTGGAGATTTGTCAGTTTTTTTGTGGAGCTGTCGCCCGAGGTCGCGAGCCTGGGAATCCAGAGGAGTGTTGGGAACTGAGAGGGACCGAGGTCGCCGTGTCCTTATGGGCAGAACGTCTGGGTCATCCCTGAGTCCTAGCTTTCTCGTTCGCAGGACCGTCGCCGTCTCTCGGTCCGCTTTCCTCAGCATGGGCGGCCGGTAGGAGCGAGTTTCGCTGGTTCCCTCTCTGTGGAAGAGGCAGCAGCCGCTCAGGCAGCTCCGGCTATGGCGGTGGAGTCGCGGCCAGAGCTGGTGGGGAAGCGGTTCTTGTGTGTGGCGATCGGCGAGGAGGTGCGTCCGGAGCGCGGGGAGAGCGGACGCTGCCGGCGGAGCTGGAGAGCCGGGGTCATTCGAGCCGTGTCCCACAGGGACAGCCGCAATCCGGACCTAGCGGTAAGAGAGCTAGTGCCCCCATTCCCCGGCGTGCGCCCGGGCCCCTCGCAGCTTCTCCTTGTTGGTACCTCCGGCACCTTGCTCAGCCTGGCCAACTGGCGGTCACGCCCCTCTTTCCAGCCCTCGTCGGGTTTACCCACATCCCCAGCCCAATCTCCACCTCCAGCGAGTGGTTTTCCCTGCAGAGGCGATATCAGAGCGGGGCTCCCTGGCGTCCCGAGCCCGTCCTGCTTCCTATCAGGGATAGGTGGTCCATAGCTTTCCCCCTGCGGCGCCCGGACGGCCGCGCGGACCTCGAGGAAAGGCGGGGCTGCGAGCTGGACCCCGCGCGCTGCGGGCCGGTGGGGGTGGGGGCGGGCCGCTTGCGGTGGGAGGCGGGAGGCGGCGAGCGTTGGTGCCCTCTGGATGCAGAAATCCTATGGTGCCGGGCTAGAAACTTATTCGGTAAGGTTGCAGAAGGGGCGGGAAAAGGGGAAAGATATCTCTGGTTTTCCAGTCCTTGGATTCGCGCTCGCGTGTGTGCCTGTTAGAGGTAAAGCCCATGGCAGTGGCGGTGTTCTGATTTGTCCCTTACTTAGATGCTTGGCTTTCCAACAGGAAACGAAGAAGATGAGGATATTTTGCTATGGAGGGTAGTAGGAATTAATCTTTCCTTCCTTTTGAATTTTTTTTTTTTTTTTGGTTGGGAGCTGATAGTGATTTAGAGTCAAGATGTTTTCTGCGTTTTATGTGACTTTAAATGAGAAATATTGTAAATTGTTAAAGGTTCTACAAAACCTTAGAGTATTTATTTATTTTACTCCCCCTTACACCGGATACTTTTTGTTTGAGTAGTATAGATTTATGTGCATAATTTGAGACGGAATGTGCTCTGTTGTGGTAACTGCATTCTCACTAGGGAAAAGTAAGGGGCTGAGTAGAGACAGTACAATGACTGATTTCCCAAGGTTGTTTTAGGAATACGTAATCCGTGAGATTTGTTTCTAGTGCCTTGGGGCATTTACTTTTTCACTGAAAATTTCAAATGTAGGTATTTTTCCCCCTCAATGTGTGTATCTAGGCTTTTAGTTCGCAATCCATTGTAATATTTGTACACTCAACCTGTTTTAATATTTTTGTTGTAATTTCTGAGTGTTTTTGTAAAATCCTGGTTTTTTTTTTTTTTAAATCACTGTAGTCAATGATATGGTTTCATGTGACATGTATTAAGCTTAACATACTGCAAAATAGGTGTGTTTGGCTAATAGGTATTTCGAAAATGAAATAAGAATAGAGGTAATTTTCGAGATTTTTCTTGTTCAACTGGAGAAAAAATATCTTCCTAGTTTTTTTTTTATTATTTTAATGATTCCATAAGTTGTGACAGTTTAATTCAATAATTATTTGTTTGTGTAAAAGGAATGTACTGAATTCATTTCTCTTTCAACTTTGATATGAAAATTGTCTTGGCTTTTGTGTGGAATCTGTTTGAATAACATTTTTAATTATCACAAAACAAACATGGAGTGAGATTTGTTTTCTACTGTATTGTGTGTAATGTGAAAATCAGGAAAGTTTTAAAGTAATATATAGTTTTGGTGACAGTCAAGTTGTGAAACTTGAATATATTAAAAGACTTAGTTGGAAATTTATATTAGATAGAGGTGGTTACATATATCATTTTTGTAAATAACAAGGTTTTGAGTATTTAAAATTAAAGTTATTTAGGAATGATAGGGCCTGACTGGAAAGAACCGGAAGGAGTTTCATGAGGTGATAGAATTGTTTTGTATCCTGATTATTGGTTACACCCATGTGTATGTATTTGTCAAAATTCACAGAATTGTACACTTAATATCTCTGAATTTAATTTCACTATGTAAATTTTTTAAAAAAATGCATGTTGACCCATAACTTTAAATCTTTGACAGGATTTCCTTCAACAATCTTTACTTGAAAAATGAATATTAGTAACTATAAAATCATTTTTTAAATTCTAGAACCTATAGTTTTAGATTTACATGCAATCTTTTTTACTTGCATATTTCTTACTTGAAACAGTCTAGCACCAACATAATATAATCTCCCTTTTAGACTTGTTTCAGCATAGTAAATTTTAAAAAGCTTGATCAATTAAATAAAAATGCTGATAAGTAGGCTGTTTTGTGGTTTTGTAAAGTTATAAATATATGTGTTCAAAGCTCTGTAAATAGTTGTAGCTGTACATATGTGTGGCACATGAACAGCACATGATATGAGGGAGAATAACTTATGAAAACTGGAAGTAATTTTCAGTGTTTCAAAGTTAAGTCTACTTTTGGTTTTATGTGTGAGAAATTGCCGTATATATTATTTTCCTGTCATTTCACACAATCTTGGTGCTGTAAAATATATAAATTTATTATTTTACAGTTCTGGGCTCACAAATCTAATATAGTTCTCTCACTGAAATAAAATTAAGGTGTGACAAGACTATGTTCATTGGAGACTTTGGCAGGTATTCATTTCTTTTTCTTTTCCAGTTTTTGTTTTGTATTTTTAAATTTTTAATGTTTTTGGTACCAGGGATTGAAACCAGGGGTGCTAATCCACTGAACCACATCCCTAACCCTTTTTATTTTGAGACAGGGTCTTGCTAAGTTGCTTACAGTTTTGCTAAGTTGCTGAGACTGGCTTTGAAAGTGTAATTCTCCTGCCTCAGCCTCCCAACCCACTGGGATTACAGGCCTAACTCACCACAACCAGCCTCCTTTTTTAGTTTTTAGAAGCTACCCACATTCCTTGCCTTATCATCCCCTTCTTGCATCTTAAACCAGTCAGGTTATATTTCTCTGACCATATTTCCTTAGTGATCTGTCTCCTGTTTCCTCAAGTGCCTTTGAGCCTACTTAGATACCATCTGAAACTTAATTCTCCTTTAATTTGGTCTGAACCCTTTGGGATAGTTTTTACTAGATTATGTTTGGACAATTTCAAATACTTTGTTGGTGACTTTGTAAAATGGCTTGACAAGGTTCTGTGTTGTCTTTTTTGGAACTATGTCAACCAAGAAAAGATCTCTTATGTATCCTCCTTTACTGCAGAGAGCCAATCATAGATGTTGAAATAGATATAATGTATCAGGAGCCTTTGATTTCTTTTTTTAGCACCATTACTCAGGAAGGTCTTGTCTTGGCATACATTGTTGCACGTTAGCCCTGCCCTACCCTTTAAGGAACTTTTCTAGGACAGTTGCAGTATCACAGAAGGAAACTGACAGTTGAGAAGCCCTATTGTGTAATATTAATCCTTTCTTCCCTTCTTTCCTCCCTCCTCCCTCCCTCCCCTTCTCCTTCCTCCTCTCTCCCCCTCCCTCCTCCCCCTCCCCCTCTCTCGCCCTCCCCCACTCCCCTCCCCTGTCTCCCCCTCCCCTGTCTCCCCCTCCCCTGTCTCCCTCTCCCCTGTCTCCCTCTCCCCTGTCTCCCCCTCCCCCTTTCCCTCCCCCTCCCCCTTTTCTTCCCCCTTCCTCCCTCCCTCCCTGTCTCCCCCCTCCCCAGGAAATTTACCACTTTTTATTTTGAGACAGGGTCTTGTCCAGGCTGGCCTCAAATTTGTGATCCTCTTCCCTCAGCCTCCTGAGTGACTGGGATTACTGGCATGTGCCAGTTAATATTAATCCTTGAATAACAATATCATGCTATAGCTATTCTCCATTTCCATATCCTGATATCAGTCACATATTTGTTTACTAATTTGTTATATATCAGTTTACCACCCATATATCTATATTTCCTTGATGTTAAAGGTGGTTAGAGATCCCTCTTTTAAAACTATCCCTGTCTAAAGAGTATTTAAGAAATGTGTCAGGGTTTTTCAACACACAAAAATCATACTGTTTTGCAAAGAAATAAATTTCCTTTTATTTTGGAGAATTTTCTTGTACTCACTTGAAGAGAAATAACTAACCTGGGAATGCAGATTTTAAATTGTTCTGAACTGTGTAACTGCAGGTAAAGATTATTTTGCAAAATTTATGTGTCTTAAATATAAGTGAAACTTCCATGTTTAGGAAATTCAAAATGGTTTCTGATTATTTGTCTATAAGTAAGCCCTTTTCCATTTTAAATTCTATGTATTTCTGCCCAGCTTTCTTACTGAGTTTGTATCATTTGGTTTTCTTATGTTTTGTTTGGATAATTCTTTCTAATTAGAATTATCTGTTACTTAGATCTTGGGCATACAAAACAGATAATGCTAATTTCTGGTGTATTTACAAAATGTTTAATATATGAATGGATGATTTTTATTTCATTGGTCAATATGAGGCTCCCCTCAAACATGTTTTAAAACTTCCTTTTAAAACTTCCCTTTTAAAACTTTGCTGCAGCCCTTCCCTGGCAGTGCATCCTTCTGGTCTGTTCAGACAGAACTTCGATCGACAGTACCCCCCATGCCATCCTGCCTTATACTGCTGAGGAGGGAAGTCGAGAGCTATTCCAACCAGTTTCGGTTTAAGGCCTCCAACTGGAAGCTTAGTGAGCAACACAGAAAAAGAAAGGGGTCAGAAACATCCAACCCTTGCTCTTTCTCTTGGCACATAGCTCAAGAAAAATGGAAACGAGGACAGTCTGGCACAGGCAGTGGCCGTCCATGCCCATCAACAGTTTTGACCACCTCAGTGAAGATAATTCTTTCATTTTTCATTACAAATCTTTTTTCCTCCCGTGTGTGTGTGAGTGTGTGTGTATGCATGCGCGCGCGTGTGTGTATGTGGTGTCTGTGTACTTGTTGTATTGTCATATATATGTATATATATGTGTGTGTGTGTGCATCTATCTATATATAGTGTACTTTGACATATTATACATACATGGGGTATGACTTCCCATTCTTGTGGTTATACACAATGTGGAGTTACATTGGTTGTGTATTCATATTTAAACATAGACAAGTTATGTCTGATTCATTCTATGGTCTTTCCTATTCCCATTCCCCCTCCCTTCCCTTCATTCCTCTTTGTTTAATCCAATGAACTTCTATTCTTCCTACCAACACTGCACCCCTTGTTGTGTGCTGGCATCCACATATCAGAGAGAACATTCAGCTTTTGTATTTTGGGAATTGGCTTATGTCACTTAGCATGATAGTTTTCAGTTCCATCCATTTGCTGGAAAATGTCATTAGTTTTCTTCATGACTGAGTAATATTCCATTGTGTATGTATACCACATTTTTTTTTACAGTTGTATATGGACAGCATGCCTTCATTTATTTATTTCGTTTTTGTGTGGTGCTAAGGATGGAACCCAGTGCTTCACACATGCAAGACAAGTACTCTGCCACTCAGCCACATCCTCACCCCTACCACATTTTCTTTATCCATTCATTTGTTGAAGGGTACCTAGGTTGGTTCCATAGCTTAGCTATTGTGAAATGAGCTTCTATAAACATTGATGTGGCTGTGTCACTGTAGTATTCTGATTTTAAGTCCTTTTGGTGGAATGAGTGGGTCAAATGGTGGTTCCATTCCAAGTTTTCTGAGGAATCTCCATACTGCTTTCCAGAGTGGTTGCAACAATTTGCAGTACCTTTCCCCCCACATCCTCCCCAACATTTATTGTTACTTGATTGTTGATAATTGCCATCTGACTGGAGTGAGATAAAAATCTTAATGTAGTCTTAATTTGCATTTATTTAAATACTAGAGATGTTGAAAAATTTTTCATATATTTGTTGACTGGTCATAATTCTTCTTCTGTGAAGTGTCTGTTCAAGTCCTTTGCCCATTTATTGATGGGTTACTTGTGGTTTTGGTGTTAAGTTTTTGAGTTCTTTATATATCCTGGAGATTAGTGTGTGTGTGTGTGTGTGTGTGTGTGTGTGTATGTTGCGGTGACAAAGATTTTCTCTCATTCCATAGGCTCTCTCTTCACATTCTTATTTCCTTTGCTGTGAAAAAGTTTTTAGTTTGATACCATCCTATTTATTGATACTTGATTTTACTTCTTGCGCTTTAGGAATCTTGTTGAGGAAGTTGGTTCCTAACCTGAATGATGGAGATTTGGGCCTGCTTTTTCTTCTAGTAAGTTCAGGGTCTCAGGTCTAATGCCTAGGTCCTTGATCCACTTCAGGTTAAGTTTTGTGCAGGGTGAGAGATAGGGGTTTAATTTCATTTGATATGCACGAACTTTCAGTTTTCCCAGCACCCATTTGTTGGAGAGGCTATCTTTTCTCCAATGTATGCTTATGGTGCCTTTGTCTAGTATGAGATAACTGTTTTTATGTGGGTTTGTCTCTATGTCTTCTATTCTGTACCATTGGTCTTCATGTCTGTTTCGGTGCCAGTACCATGGCATTTTTGTTACTATGACTCTGCAGTATCATGTAAAATCTGGTGTTGTGATGCCTCCTGCATCACTTTTCTCACTAAGGATTGCTTTGGCTATTCTGGGCTTCTTGTTTTTCCAAATAAATTTCATAACTGCTTTTTCCATTTCTATGAAGAACATCATTGGAATTTTAATGGGAATTACATTAAATCTGTTTAGTGCTTTTGAGAGCATGACCATTTTGATAATACTAATTTGCCTATCCATGAACATGGGGGATTTTGCATTTTCTAAGGTCTTCTTCAATTTCTTTCTGGAGTGTTCTGTAGTTTTTATTGTATAGGTCTTTCACCTCTACTGTTAGATTGATTCCTAAGTACTTCTTCTTTTTTTTTTCTTTTTGAGGCTATTATGAATGGGATAGCTTTCCTAATTTATTTTTTAGCTAATTTATCATTGGTCTATAGGAACACAATTGATTTATGGGTGTTGATTTTATATCCTGCTACTTTGTTGAATTTGTTTATGAGTTCTAAAAGTTTTTGGTACAGTTTTTTTTTTCCTAAATAGAGAATCATGAGTCATGTCATTGGCAAATAGGGATAGTCTGAACTCTTCTTTTCCTATTCATGTCCCTTTAATTTTTCTTTAGCCTAGGATAGAATGATCTTATGTTGACATCATAAAGGCTATTTATGATAAGTCTGAAACCAACATCTTTGTGAATGGAGGAAAATTGAAAGTATTTCCTTTAAGATTTGGGACAAGGGTGACTGCTTTTACCACTCTAGTCCAATGTAGTGCTAGGAATTATAGTCAGAGCAATTAGGCAAGAGAAGGGAAAAAAGGATAAAAATAAGAGAGGAAGAAGTCAAATTATCAGATATGTTTATATGTTTGCAGATATGAACCCCTACGTATAAGATCCATAAATATTTACCAGAAGACTGCTAGAATTAATAAATTCAACTAAATAACAGGTGAAAAAATCAACATACAAAAGTCAATAATTTTCTTCTATATCAACAATGAATCTGCTGAGAAATCTTATCCAAAATAGCTAAAAAAAAAAAAACCCAAACAAACAAACAAACAAAAAATAAACCAAAAAATCTCAAAACCCAATGACCTTAGGAATAAATCTAGCCAAGGAGGTGAAAGACCTCTACAATGCCATAATTCTTCTTTATGGCTGAGTAAAATTATATTGTGTATATATACCACATTTTCTTTACCCATTTGTTGAAGTACACCTAGGTTGGTTCCACCAACAATGGATGATTATATATTTTTCCCTCACATCCTTGCCAACATTTATTTTTTAAAAGATATACTTTTATCCTGCTGGTAGGGTTGTAAATTAGTACAACCTTTATGAAAATCAGTATGGAGGTTCCTCTGAAGACTAGGCATGGGAACACCTTATGATCCAGCTATACCACTCCTTGGCATTTATCCTAAGAAATATACTATAGCAGCACAATTCACAATAGTCAAACTATTGACCCAGCCTAGGTGTCCAACATGGATGAATGGATCTGTGAATCTGTGAAAGGAATCTGTGGCGTACATACACAAAGGAGTTTTAAATCATGTCATTTTCAGGAAAATGGATGGAACTTGAGAATATTATGTTAACTAAAATAAGTCAAACTCAGAAAGTCAAGCGTTGTGTGCTTTTTTCTCTCATGTAGAAACTATAGAGGAAAGAGGAAAAGAATGGTTGAGGAGAACCTCATGAAAATTGAAGGAAGATCAGAAGAGTAGAGGAAAGAGGCCAGTGGAAGGGAGAAAGTGAGGAAAAGGGGAAATCTTGGGGAATGATATTGGCCAAGTTATATTGTTATATTGTGTGCATGTATGAATCTGTAACAATGAATCCTACCATTATGTGAAACTATAATGTAACAATGAAATATGGAAAAATAAAATTAAATATATCTTCTTCTGAAAAAAAAAAAAAGAATACATAGCCAAAAATGCCATTTTAAAGAGAACAGGTGCTGGGCACTATGGCACATGCTTGTGATCCCCAGCAGCTTGGGAGGCTGAGACAGGAGGATCATGAGTTCTAAGTCAGCCTCAGCAATGGGGAGGTGCTAAGAAACTCAATGAGATCCTATCTCAAATACAAAATAAGGCTGGGGATGGGGCTTAGTGGTCGAGTGGCCCTGAGTTCAATCCCCAGTACCCACCCCCTGCCGAGAGAGAGAGAGAGAGAGAGAGAGAGAGAGAAAGGGAGAGAGAGAAAAGATTTTCTTTATCTTCCCAAAGGATTGTGATTTTGTTTCAGAAAACTGGGGAGACAGGCAGGGAAGCCTTGGTACAGAGCATGATGTGTTCTAGCTGTTAACACCCACAGTCTCTGATCTACTCCACAAATCTCTTGGGAATTAACAAATGCTAAGGGGTTCTGGACCTTTCTTCTGCCTTTGTACAGCTTTCCAGCTGTGTAGGACTTATCTCTACAGTCTCAACATGAGCTCCTTAAGGATAAGAGCAGAGCCTGTGACTTACAGCTGTCCATGTCTCCTAGTCTTCACTAGTAAATGTTTGTTAAATGGAAACCTGACTGAGGCTGCATATCAAAAGGATGGGGGATCTTCAAGGCAGGGTACCTGCTCCTGCCTAACTGAATAGAGACTGCTTGGCTTGGAGGCTGCCTTATCCTGTCAAAGAGATCAATAATGCTGCTGGGTTATGGGCATCAGATAAGAGGTTTCAGGGTTTAAAAAAGACATGACAAGTTAGGGGACAGTTAGGAGGATAGCTGTCATGATGATAAAGGGTTTTAAAAAGCAGGTGTAAGAAGAAGGCTGGGGCAATATTGGGGCTATTTAAATATCAAAAGTTTTGCTTGAATCATGTATGATAGGCAGTTGATTTTCCATTAGTAGTAGGGTGCTTATATAGCACAGATCTTAATAGCTTTTTTCATGGCAAGACACTCTTATTTTCTTAGGAAAATATCAAAATTATGTGTCCCACAAGGGTAATGCTCTTCAAGACTAGAATCTGCCCTAAGGTTCTGACATTTTAGGTGGCTTCCTGCCACCAAGGACTGAGGGTTCAATTCCTTAGCACACCATAACCTCTTCCTGGTTTGAGAAAGTCATATAAGCATTATGAAATTGATATGGAGGCAGGGAATATTTGAATTTTAGGTAGCTAAAAGCAAGTTAGATCAAAATAATGAATGAAGAATTGAAAAAAAAATGAGAAGATGGTTGATTATCAGATTTGAAAACACTGGATCAATTTGTCAGGGGGCGGGAAATAGAGCACATCCAATAGTCTTTGTTATGTTTAATCTTCACTACTTCAGAAAAAAACAAGCGTTATAAACTTATCTCCAAGATCACTTGAAGTTTCAATTTTATTTAGATTTTTTTTAATGTTTATTTTTGTTTCACAGTGTTGACTAACAAATTATTAGTTTTAATGAGAGTGAGCCACTGTGATTGAAGACACTACAGGCTGATTGAAACAAAAATTTGCTATTGAAACTTATAAAACTACATAAGTATGAAAGAACATTAAGTTTTACATGTGAGTTAGAGTAAAGCAAAAGCTTTCTGTAGATAAGATAGATTTAAGGATGTAGGTGACCCAAGAGTGTAAATGTCTTGGTACAAGCAAAAATTCCAGGCAGTGTATGTCAGATTTTCAAGGCAGTGGAATTGGTGGGGTGTAAGTCAAGGGATCCAAACAGTAAAAAGGGACTCATGTAAAACATCTTGGTTACACATGAAACAAACAGGAATGCTCCCTGAGATAATGAAGGCATGATATGAGGAAAGAGTCGAGTGGGAAATGGAACAACAGACCTGAGCAGAAGGATCTGCTGGCTGGTGGGCAGGTGGAGGAGGGGCACAACCTCCTCAAGTCTTCTCTCCCCACCCTCAGAATCCTTTCCCTTTGTGACTCTTCAATGGTGTGTGATGCAAGCCTGGAGATATAGAGAAGCCCAGGCACCTTCAGAACTCATTTGCCTTAGGCACCCGAGCAATTCAGAAGATGAAGAATGTTTTCTCTTTGCTGAATAGCCATACTGAACCATGGTTGATCTTGGTTCAATTCTTTGGGATATTGATCCCCAAAGTACCATTTTCAGTGGGTTGGTGTTGCTTTTTCTATACCTGTCCTTTCAGGTATTGAAACGATTTTCACCAACACTCGAGAAAAATAAAGCCATCCAGAAGAAGGTAAGGAAGCAGAGTGAACTCCCAAGGGAGTTTCTTGATTTTGTCAAATGTGAAATGTTTTGTGAAATGTCAAATGTGATTTGTTATTTCCATTCTCACATTACTAAATGTTTGGTTGGCTCAAAGGAGATGTGACTTAGGAAGTCTGAGGACAAGATAGAACTTCACTCTTTAGGGAAAGAAGTCAGAGGTTCGGGAAGGACTAAGGTTTCCATCTGAAGCTCACAGACTATCTTTTGGGGTGTGATGGAGGGTTCCAGATTGGTTTGGATAGAGAGTGTGGCTTCTCTGAAGGAGACAGGTCTCTTCTGACTAGATTCTGAGTCTCATTCCCATGTCAGATGTGCTTCACCCAGCCTTCATATTGGGCTGATCAGGACAGCAGTGCTGACCTCAGAGTAGAGCCTGTAGCCTGAGCTCTGCCCCAGGACACAGGGTTCCCCGGGGGAGCCCAGACGTAATTGTTGGCCTCAGATTCTATGCCCTCCTTCCGCAGAGGGTTTAAGACCATCAAATGTGGAATCTCACAGAAAAAAATGTCCTTTGAAATTATCAAAGAAGTAAAAAATTGAAAATATTTCATTGCCCTTCAAGATTAATAAAAGGAAGGAATACAATTTCTACTAATTAAAAATGAAGAGTTGTCCAATTCTTGCCTAATGAATGTCTAAGCTTGTTAACAAAAGGAGTAAAAGAAATGAGCCCCAGCCCCTCATTCTTTTCTTTTTGTTTTCAGTGTCAGGGAACAAAGAGAAGGAGAAATGGAGTATCTAAAGGTAAGGTTCTGCCTGTTCAACCTGAGCTCTATAAGGGTGAACTTTCCTATCTCCCTACAGCTCCATGATCTTGGAGGATGTCAGTTTCTAGGTGCAGTCTCTCTCAGGAAGCAGGGTCTCAGAGGAGAGGCTCAGGAGAAGGCAGTGAGACCTGAGAGATTCTTCAGAGTCCCTTCCCTGCCCACCCTTCCTTGGGTGTGAATGAAGTAGTGATGGACCTGGGCCTTGGACATTTACTGCCAAGTAGGTGGCCCTGTGAGATGTCCAAAGACCCCTGATTGTCTTGGAGTCAGAATTTCTGTCTGGTGACATGGTGTAAACTACTTTAATTCTTGGCTGATTAGATTCATCCTGAGTTAGCTACTGATCCTTGTGCTTCAGGTGGTGGTTTTGAGCAGCATGTAGGATGGTACAGGTGAAAGTACTTTCTAAATGGAACCACATATACCTGTGAACCTTCTTACTATTATCCCTGACACTTATGACCTTATCTGCAGATTTTTAGGGCTTTCTGACTTTAATATCCTGTTTCCTGTAAAAACTCCTGAATGATAACGTGTGTTTTTACCTTTACTATATATAACCAACTGTCCTGGTTTTCCAGGTCGGAGAACTTGCCGGAGAGAAGTAGAGGAGGGGAGGAAGCTGCTTTCTATTCTGAAAAGGTGATTAGTCATTTCCCTTTACTGATTCCTTTCCTAGCATGCTTTATTCAGTCCCCCAGGAATTCTTCGCAACATGCCCTAATCACAGGAGGGATAGCCATAGCCATGGGTATGTGAATAAAGAACTTGGGAGGGGAGGGTATTGTGAGGTCATAGATGTGTGGAATGTAGAGCAGGTAGCGGGCTCCCCACCACCCATAGAACTGCAGATCTTGCTTACCTTGTAGTGGTTCTGGTTACAGCTTTGGCTTTCTTTCTCTTACAGTCCCATGAGCCAGAATAATGATTTCCTCCGCTTTCGGCAACTGTTATGTCCAGACCCGCTCTGTAGGGTGTGTAATAGAACAGCAGCTGAGGTCAGTCAACTGATCTGTAAGGCGTCCTTGGAAGATGCTCTTAATTCTGTGTCCCGTGTGTCTTCCGTGACGTCTGTGAGAGAGTCATCAGTTTTTCTGTCCGATGTTGTCTCTGCAATCCCTCCGGGAGCTTCAGTTTCAACTCCTTTAACTGAGCCAACTCTATTTCCTTCCTCTATTCGTTCACCTGACCAAATTACCCCTTTAAAGGACCTACCTGGACCCTCATTACTGGGTGACTCTCTGCCACCAGAGCCTTCTCCCTTGAGTTCAAAATTGCCAGTGGATCATATCCCACCTCAAACATCTGTTCCAACTCCTCCCCCACCTGTTCCAACCCTTCCCCCACCAACTGACAGTCAAGAAGCAAAACCTGTTCTCCAACCAGAAGCCCCTTTGTCTCTGGTGGATAGCCCTGATGGGTTGTCTACTAATGTCCCAACAACCACATGCACTGACAGTGCAAGCCTTCCAGTGTCAGAGTTCTCTGGAAACCAGTCTCATGCTGAAAACTTGTCTCCATCTAAATTGGAGCACTCTGATGATGACAAAAACCTCCTCGACCTCCATCCTCCTGAGGCCTCTTTTGAGAGTGATACTACAGCCATCCTTGTAGAGCCCAGAAACCTCTCATTTCTATGCCCTGATGTCTTGGCCCTTCTGGAGAGACACATAAAAAAGAAGGGCGATTTCCTGATGCAGAACAAAAAGAAAAAGGAAAAAAAAATCTTTTCCAAAAGAACTTAAGCCAGACGACCAATTGAATTCTTCAGGGAAAAGGTTAGAGTCAGTTGCTGAGCAACAGGACTCACCTGTCTCCCTTCCTTCACAGAGCAGTGAAGGCAAATCAGAGGGATTGCAGGTAGACCACCAGTCCTCAGATCCTAAGACCTTTGAGGATAACTTACCTAAAAAATGTACCCAATTCTTCTGGGGTCTCCCATCTTTGCGTAGTGAGTCCTTGAAATCTATAGTACCTGAATCAGGTGACTGTTCAGCCTATGTCTGCTTCAATTCAATGCCTAGTTCCTTTGAAGCCCCTGAATCTCTAGTTCTACCCCCTCCCCCAACTCTGTCCTTGCCTGAGATCCAATCTCAACCCTTGACCCAAGCACTGTGCCAATCTCCTGTCCCACCCCAGGACCAGCTTCAGTGCCAATCTCCTGTCCCACCCCAGGACCAGCTTCAATTTTCAGTCCCTACCTTGTCACCACCCATTTCATCTCAGGTTAGTGATGGTGGAGTGAGGATTCATAGATTCCAGGATGAGGTACACTCTCTCATGCCATCCAAAATTCATGACTTGGAATATAATGTATTACAGAAAGGACAGGAAAGTTTGTGGGGTTTACCCTCTGTGGTTCAAAAATCCAAGGAAGAGTTTTGTCCTGCAGCTCCCAGTGTTTTATCTGATAGACGGTCCTCCAAGGCTTATGCTCCAACAACCATCATTCCGGGAGATTTTCCCCTCAAAAAAGAGCTTCGGAAGAAGCTAGAGCACCACCTTCAGAAAAGGCTTATTCAACACCGGTGGGGTCTGCCCCGCAGAGTCCATGAGTCTCTGTCATCAAGGATGAGTCCTGAAACAAAAATTTCCGAGATATCTGAGTCAAAGTCCACTTATGGACTTTCATGGATCTCTTTGTTTAAGGGTCAAAGTAGCAAAGATTTACAATTGAGCCATCCCAGAAGTTTCCATGAGAAGAGCTCAGAATTACTTCCACTAGGGGAGAGAATGAAGAAAGTAAATAGTCTAGAGATTGGCACAAAAGATGATCCATTGAGTGACTCAGAGGGGGCTCCAGATAATGATCTGGACTCTGAGTTTAAGACAAACCTAAAAAACGAATTGAATAGTCTTTTTGGAAAAAAATCAAAGATCTCAGAGGAGAGCTCAGTTCAGAAACAACTGACAGAAGCCCTAGAAATACATTTGAGCAAGAAATTTGAGGAAATCAATGTGTGTCAGATGCCTGGCACTGTGAATAGATCATTGCATTCTATGGAGCCAGTATTGATTAGTCCTGAGAAATCCCCTAGCCAAACAAAACACAGAGATTTGGTACCACTGGTGTGTAAGGACAAGGGCCTCAATACCTCCCAGGATATATCCTTCCTTGGTTCCAACAAACAAAAGATCTTGGAAGACCATATTAAACTGTTCCATAAGAGGATGATGTGTGGGCTTCCCCAAAAGGTCCAGGAATCCATAGACATCTTCAAAATGAAAGGAACCCCATCCTGGTCCTCAGTTCGCTCCAACATTTCCTCCTCATCCAGTCTTACTTCTGGCAAGGATTCCAAAATTGGGATCTCCAAGCCCCTTAAAGAAAGCATTAGTACTTTTCACATCAACAAGGTGGGAACAATAATTTCAGGCCCTACTCTAGATCATCCTCTTTCTGCCACTTCACCTGTGAGCAAGGAAAATAAGAGGGCCCTAACACATTCACCCTCTCACACCAACCCTGAGCTTACAGAGAATGTCAAGGCAATTGAGGGTGATAGACGGGCTTCGTTGCCCTTCCCACACAGTGACAAAGATAAAGACAGTCAGAAACAGACTGTAATAGCCAATAAATGCAGCCCAAAGTTGCCCACAAAGCAGGCTGGGGCCAGACCCAAATCATGGAATAAAGGAGTGAGTCCCAGCAATAGTATAGAAAAGATTCAGAGAAAAATTATTAAGAATTTAGAATATTTTCCCATGTCTAACAAGTCCAGGGAGATATTCAAGGCAAAGGAGCTCTGTGCTATTCGATCACAGTCTACGAACAGCCTGACGACCACAGAGTCAGAAAGCTCCTCAGTGACAGATATGAATATGAATAAAGTTGAATCAACCCTAACCATTGAAAGGCCCCCAGAAGGAATATCAGTTCTCAAAGATTCCAAATCATTAGATCTTAAAAATCAGTTGCTTAATGAGTTGAAGATGAAAATTGAGAGCAGGGAGCGGGGCCTGGTTCCAGCCTTTTCTACTGAGTTGTCTCTGGCCTCAGATAAGTTGACTTCCAAGACCCTGGCTTCCAAGACCTTAGCTCCCAAAACCTTGACTTGCAAGACCTTGACTTCCTTCACTCATTTTCATAGTGCCTCTAGTGGGGACATGGCAGCTCCCCAGGTTCTACAAGCCCACTGTGACAACAGAGGGATCAACACAGAGCAGGGGCAAGAACCCGGGATCCCTACACATGTCTTATGCAAGTGTCAGGATAAGAATATAGCATTAGCATCAAAAAGGGTGTGCCCTCTGGTACCCCAAACAGGCGAGTTTGGTGGAGGGGATGCAGGGTTGGTGACACGCCAACCTAGAGGGAAGCTCCCCCACCCTCAAGACAGAACACTAAAGGAGGCACTTGGGAGCAAGTCCTCAGCCCCATCACTGAAGGGACAGCCTTCTCCTGAAAACAATTTTAAAAGCCAGTTCAAACACTTTTTTCAAAGGCTTTATCTTGGTATGAAAGGCAGAGGGCAAGAAGGTTCTCTGAAAAATGGCAGCTCTTCATCATCTGTGCAAGGCAGAAACCCAGCTAAGAAGAGAGCTGCCTTTACTGGGAATACTGAAGCTCAGAAAATCATGACAGACATTGGGAAGATCCTAGAGGAGAAACTAGCAGGTCGGCATGGAGTAGAGGCCACCGCCCCGCAAAAGCCTCTTTCCACCCCCATGAGGCCTGGGAAAATTCAGCACAAGACTGGATTGCCGGTTCAGGCAGAACCCATCCAGAAACATGCCTTCAATGTCAATACTCCCTGTGCTAAGGTGCCAAGTGCCAAATCTTGCAGCCAAGAAGTTGGCTTTGCTGGTCAGAGGTATCCTACAGGGAATAATAAATGGGTCATGGACAGGGGCAGACAGCCCCAGAAAAGTGTGACAGTACAGGAAAAGATATGTCAGAAGCATCACCCATCCATGCCGCACAAGGAACCCTTGCCCCATCTGAATACTACATGCAAATATAGAGTTGGTCAGGTGGCTCCAGCTGCTGCTCCTCTTCCTAAAGGCACTGTGTTGGGAGAGTTGTCCCTATTGTTCAAACAGAAAATGCTTCTCCAGAATTTTCAGAAAGAAAATTTTCTTCCCCCCAAATAATTTATCCCTTTTTGAGAATACTGATTTTCCCCAATAAGTTTTCTAACAATATGGTGTCTTGTGTTGGGGGTTTGGTTTTTTGGCAACCTACTCCTTGTGTTTAGGGAAGGGGAGAAAGTAGTTCAGCTTTTATTGATTGCCTCTCTGGACTTCTAAAAAGGTGACCAAATCTCCTGGACCTCTCATTAAGGAAGGGATATCATGTTTTCAAAAAACACCTTTCCTCTTCCTGCTGAAACCTGAGGAGGTGGCACTGCTTCCTACCCCTTAGCTTAACCTTAATGGCATTATATATGGCATCCCACACCTTCCCCCTGCAGTGAGGAAGATAGGTCTTCTATATCTAAAGAGAGAGTCAAGGGGCTAGGTGTTTTGGCTCAGCGGTAAAGCGCTCACCTCTAGGCGCTGGGTTTAATCCTCAGCACCACATAAAAATAAAGGTGTTGTGTCCAATTACAATGAGGACAGGGAGAGAGAAGGACAGGAACAATTTTGAGAATGGTTAATGGAGTGGCTTAGTCATTTTTTACAAACATGTCAGTTATCAGGAGTTCATACAGAAGGGTGAAACTTGCTTGAGAATGTTTAGGGGGTACTGCTGCAGTGGATTCTGGGTGATTGGGGTAGGGTTTAGGAGCAGGGTAGGTGCTGCTTAAGAAGTTTTTATAAGGCATATCTTATAAATAACCATACTTTGAACTTGCCATTGTAGTTCCTTAAATGGTTCCTTACTGGAAAATCACTTAAGAGTTTCCCCTTGCTGGTTACTTTTTCATGCTGCCTGGACTTGGTATTTTTGCAAAGCAAAAGGTTAGCCAGCTGTTGTTGATAGGAATTTTAACCAGGCAGTTACCTTACTCTCAGGTAAGATAAAGCTGAGAATAAAGATGCTTTAAAGAAAGAGGAAGCTGGGGTTGTGGTTCCGTGGCAGAGTGCTTGCCTCACATGTGTGAAGCACTGGATTTAAGTCTCAGCACCATCAACTAAAAATTTTTTAAAAAGAGAGAAAGTAACACCAAAACAAAACAAAAAAATGAGGGAAAAAATGACCTTTCTGGTGGAAGAAAGGATTATGCTTCATCACCTCCACATTGTGAACAACTACTCTTTCCCAGTGTGATCCTGCCAGCACTTCCCTGAGGCTCATCAGGTGCTACAGTGGTTACTGATGTCATACTGGCAGAAGTGTACATGAGGTTGTGTGGCTGTTGTCAAACATGGCATACCTCTTTTTGGGTGGGGCTAAGGGGGTAACCTTGGTGTCAACATGCAAGATCTTGCCCTTAGTGTGTACAGTTCACTTTCCAGGATGGAGACGTCATTTTTGACTTTCATGGGCTTCTTAGAGACATGGTAGATCTCCCTCCATCACCTGCAGCTCACAGTCCAGAGTTGAGTCCTGGACCATGCACCAGAGTCAGATATTTGAGGGTTTATCACAGACCTGCACAAAATGCTCCTTTTAACCAAGATTCAGCACACATTTAGTGTTAAAATAGGGGTCTGTTGGGAAGGCAACTGCACTTGCACAGATTGGGACTCAAAAATGGGTTGAGTTTCCCAGAGGCTTTTTTTTTAATTAGTGCATTTTAATTATACAAAATAATGGGTTTCATTGTCTCAGAGTACTCTTGAATTTTCTTTCTCAGAGAC